GTAGAGAGATAGAGAGAGAGGGGCATACAAAGAAGGAGCGGACGATCAAACTCGGTAGGACGGTGAGGAGGAGTCCGTGGAGGAGGCCGGGGCTGGACGCCGCGAGAGAGAGAGAGAGAGAGAGAGCGAGAGACAGAAAGAGGACGAGTGAAAGATCAAACTCGGAAGGATGCCGTGATGAATCCAGACCGCGTGTCTCAGGACGTGGGTGTGTGTGTGTGTGTGTGTGTGCATCTGCGTGTGCGTCTGTGTGTGTGTGTGCTGTCTGTGTGCAGGTTTCGTCCATGAAGGCGCTGTTTCCCGATGATTCTTGAATTACATTGGTGAACATGTGGTGCTTGTTCGCATTGTGGATGCATGGTGTTGTATGTGTGGTGCCAAGGAAGATGATGCCCCGAATCCACCGGCGCGGGACTTGGGTTTGTGTGTATGCATTGGCCTGGCTCGGATGTTGTTCGAGGTTCGTCGTGTTGCCACGGACCGGGAGGTCGAGGCTTTGCGCTGTAGAGTGAATCCTCAATTGCAATCGCGAGTGCATCCTGTGTTTCTTGATTTGCCAGGATCATCATGCAGCGCTGGATCTCGTGTTGGCCTTAAACATTCAGTGCATGTGTGTATGTTTATGTTTGTGTGCGCGCATGTGTTGGTCGTTAGTTGTCGTTCCACAGGAGGCCGTCCAACTCCGCACTGTCGCAGCCCCGATGTGTTTTGTTTTTGATGGCGTTTCGTGTTTTCTTGCTCGAGGCTTCTGGCTCACAGTCGTCGAAGCCCAAGGCTCTTGTGCAGCTTTGTGTTTTTGGCTGAAACTGTGTCGGTCGAGGGGGTGGGAGTGTTATAGAGCGACGCCAGGCGCCGAAGCGCCAGCGCACGAAAGGTGGCCCCCTTTTGAGGGGAAGAGGGATTGAGAGAGGGTTCGTGGGAGAGAGAGGGAGAGACAGAGAATGAGAGAGAGAGAGAGAGAGAGGCAGAGAGAGCCAGGGAGAGAGCGAGGGAGAAAGAGCGGGACAGGCAGAGTGAGAGAGAGGGAGAGAGAGAAGGAGAGAGAAAGATGAGAGTTGAGAGAAGGAGCGGTCGAGATCTGTTTCGCGTGGCCAGGTCCAGGGGCGCCCTGAGCCGCGAGCGGAGAAGGGGGGGGACCTAAGTGTCACCCCCCTTTAGGGGGTTTGGGGTTCTCGATGTTCGTTATAGTTCATGTGTTGTCTGATGCTTTTCTGTTTTAGACGTTTTGCTGTACACCCTAACCCCCCAAACATCTTCGCTCATATGAAGCCGGGACAAGCGGCCGCAATGGCAAGTGGTTCCTGTAACATATGTTCGTATCGTGCTGACATGGTATTCCAGTGCTGGTAGTTATTGTACTTGCCATCGCGGCCACTGGCGGGCGGCTACTCCCTTTGTGTATTTCCACCATGCATCTAGTTTTAACCTAATCTAAACCTATCTACTTTTCTATCTATGCACTTAACATTCTTATTGCCTGCATATCCACTTCCCATTTTTTCAGTGCAGGGTCAAGCCAGCTTCTTGAAGAGCCGGCTGCCAAAGGAGAGGAAAGAAGTCGTGCTTGTATGTGGCTGTGCAGATTGAGCGCAGCTTGCTTGCAAGGGAAGCTTCAGATGTCGAATGTCTGGTATTAGGAGCCTTTTAATTCTGCTCTGGAGTTCGTTTCGTTTCACGGATGGCCAGGGAGTGATCTTGAAATCTCTCGTGTATGATGGCCAGGCGTTCAGGGGCAACTGTTTTCCAAGTGAGACTTCATGCAACGGCCAGTCCTTTGGCCTTATCTGTCATGGGTTTCTTGAGCCACGGTGCCTTCTCATGGTGCCATCGGTTCCTTGTGGTTTTGATGCTGTAGTGCAGCAGTACATTTCTAAGTTTGCGGACATAGCGCTGCTTTTGAGCTTGCTGCTCTCCATTGAAGCTTCAGGCAAGCCTCTGTTTCCGCTGCAACCCACTTTTACTGTTCGGGGCGAGGGACACAAGTGAGTCGTAGCGTAGTTGCGCTCCATGGCGTTGGTTGTCAAGCGGCTGGCGGATGCGGCTCCAGCCCGAGTGGTCGGGTGCAGGGTGTTCGAGCTGTAACCGTGCTTCATATGAGCCAGGAGAGGGAGTTCCCGGAGCTTCGAGATGAGGCACGGCAGGCGATTGCGTACTTGGCGCGGAGAGCGAAAATTGCACTGACAGATCGCGAAGTACAAAACCGGCCGCATGTTGACGGTGAAGCGCCTCGCGGATGCGGCTCCAGCCTGAGTGGTCGGGTGCGGGATGCTCGAGTTGTAACCATGCTTCATATGAGCGAGGAGAGGGAGTGCCCGGAGTTTCGAGAGGAGGCACGGAACGCGATTGTGAGTTGGCGTGGAAAGCGAAAGATGCACTGACAGATCTCGAACTACAAAGCCCGCCGGGATCGCCGCGTGACCTGGAAGAAGGTCACTTACTGACCATGCGACCAGGACTGGGATAAGCGTTTCATCTCTGTCAGGGCGTGAGGACGATTTTCGTCGACCGCGTGGCCAAGCATAAAAGTCTTTGGTACACTGTCGGGGAGTTGAAAGCGATGAAGAAGGCTGGACTCGGACAGGTTTTAGGAAGCATACTTCGAGTTTGGGTATTTTGACCTGCATTGTTTGTTCTTGGCATTGTTTATTTAGACTAGAGCAACTAGACATGCCATAGAGGTGAATGCTTGGGTTTCAAAGTGTCCGTGGCGTGGCAGGGGCTGGTGCGCAAGAAGCACGATCAGGCCGAGTGGTGGTGAGATTCGTGGGGAGAGACGGTGGGAGAGAGAGAGAGAGAGAGAGAGAGAGAGAGAGAGAGAGAGAGAGAGAGAGAGAGAGAGAGAGAGAGAGAGAGAGAGAGAGAGAGAGAGAGAGAAAGAGAGAGAGAGAGACAGAGAGAGAGAGAGTGAGACAGCAACCCGGAAACCGTTGCTGCTGCTGAGCTGGAGGTTGGAGAGCAGCGCGACAGGTGATGAGCCGGGGGGGGTGGGGGGGGCAAAGTCTCGCCCTCTTTCTGGGGGTTCGGGTATTGAATGGGGTCGTTGTTTATGACTGTTTTAGACTCGGTTTGGGTTGTACCTATTACTCGAACCCTACGATTTGGGGTGCTAGATCATAGAGTCCCCCTATTTTCGGAAACGCCCATAGAATATGGGTCGCGGTCTGCGGGCGGTGAATTAAACCCCTAATCCGAGGCTCGGTGTGTTTTGAAAGATGAGCAGTCGTGAAGAGGGCTTGGGCCTCCGGGACAACCGGGTTCCTTGGGTCCGTGGGCTTTTGGAGAGTGAGCTTGCTTTCTCTTTCCACTCAAGCTCTGTGCAGGATCCCTTAGAAGCTGCCCCCACCCTATAATAGTGGTATAATAGGAAAATAATAGGGCCCTAATATAATCACTATTACAGGGTGGGGGCAGCTTCTAAAGGATCCCACTTCAATCAGAGCAATGCGCAGTTCAAGTTCGCAAGACACATTGACACTACCCCGAGGTTGAAACGGCAATGCAGTGGCATTCGTAGCCAGTAAGAAGCGGAAGAAGTAGCAGTAGTAGTAGCAGCAGCAGTAGTAGTGCGAGTACGGTACTAGTAGGAGTGGCAGCAGCCATAGCAGTGTCAGCAGCTGCAGGCGTAGCCGCAGCCGTAGAGAAGTGACAGGAAGTGCCCCGAAGACTGGAGCCTGACAATGGGTGCTTTTAAAAGGGTCCTGTAGGGGTATATGGGGTTCCTTTACAGAGGTTTTTCGGGGATTATAGGGTTCCCGGAAAGGGGTCTATAGGGTTTAGAGAAGTTTAGGGTTTAGTGGGATCATTGACCCGAATTCAAAATGGTTACAATGAGTTTGCCCTGTAGAGACATAAGCATCAAGGCTTGTGTCCTGAAGTCCTATCAGAGAACATCGTCATTAAGAACTCACAGCCTAGACCCTAAACCCTAAGTCTCTGAGGTTTATGCACTACTGCGATGAGCTCCTCCCAGCTTTGCGCGCAGCAAGGCGACGAGCGATAGCTCGCCAAGGACACGAGGAAAAAGCGGCTTAGGGTTTTGGGTTTAGGGGGGGGCGGCGCCGAGTTTTGCTTCGGAATTTGTGTATCATTGCACTCGCAAAGTGGATGGTGAGCTAGCTTATGCTGAAGTCATTCTGGAAATCTTGAACTTCAGGCCCCGTCCATTTCGTTAACAAATCCAAGCATGCATGCCGGGGCGGCGAGGCACATGCATGAAGAGGTATTTGTGTACATGTATGCATGCATGCATGTATGTTTGTGTATGTATGCACGTATGTATACATCTATGCACGTATGTATGCATGCATGCATCATGGGTGTATGTATGTGTACATGTGTACGCATACACAACATCTGTGGTTTCGGTACACGTGTATGCTCATAATCGCGCTTTCCTGTGTATGTATAAATACATACCGATGGAAAGATAGAAAAATACATCGATCGAAAATCCACCGTCTATGCATGGATTTCTGTTTGTTTGTCTGTCTGTCCACCTGTCTGTGCATATATGCATGTAAGTTTGTATGTGCGTATGTAGGCGTGCAGGTATGTAGATATGTACGTATGCATGTATGCACATAGATATGTATGTATGCATGCATGCACGTGTGTATGCATGCTAGCATGTATGTATCAATGTAACAATGCATGTATGTATGGTCGGATGGATGGAGGCAGGGAGGAAGGGATAGATGTGTGTATGTGTGTGTGTATGTATGTATTTGTGCATCTGTTTTTCTATCATCCATGTAGCTAGTTAGCCAGCCAGCCGGCTAGCTAGCTATCTATCTATCCGTCTATCTACCTATAACCTAGCGTTTAGGTTTAGATCCTTTTTTTGAGATCACTGGGACGTGACGACTGACTGAAAATCACCGATCGAAGCCCTGAATTAATCCCTAATCTCTATAAACCCTGAACCCTTACGCCCCTCCCCCCTTCACAACGAAATACGTGGATGCCCCCCTCTCAACAACGAAATACGTGGATGCCAGCAGGTCGAAAACCGACTTCGCACAGCGGTGGCATTTGCCTGGGAGCCCAGACGGCGTCTTATGTGCATGTGGGCTTGTCTTGGTGCGTCTGCATGCAAGTATGCACCCCAATGTTTGCGACCGGAGTTAGCAGCCCGAAGCCCGACTCAACGTTGCTGAGGCACGAGCCCTCGTTGAGCAGCTTGCGCCAACGATGGTGGGATGCCCAAGATAGAGTTTGAACTGTGTAGTCCTTTCCTCTGCCAGCTTTGGATTGTAAGCCTGAAGTCTGCTTCCAGCTCGGAGAGCACTTCAAGAGCAGGAGTAGTAGTAGTAGTAGTAGTAGTAGTAGTAGCAGGAGTAGTAGTAGTAGTAGTAGTAGAAGTAGTAGTAGTCACGAAAGCTAGCTCTGTGGAGCTCGCGGGAGTTGCCCTTTAGCAATTCACTTGTATTAAGGCACTAGGGAAATAACAGGGTTTGCACCTTATCAGGTGGGACGTCCAAGAGTTAAGGTGGGGTAGGGGGGGGGGCCCCCCCCTTCACCTTGTCATTATGCGTTTTCCACTGATAAGGTGCGCTTCCCTCCCCTCCTTTAACGTGGTTGTGCCTGGGATAAGGTGGGGGGGGGGGGCCCCCCCCCCGTGTGCGGCTTAAACCGGGTTTATTTGGAAGCTGGTGCTTGCACTCTAGATAGGGAAACAGTGACCTAAATCCCTTATATATAAACAAGAGCCAGCTTCCAAATAAACCCGGTTGGGGGTCCCGGGCGGGGACAGGGCCGGGAATTAAATAATTTAAATAATTCAAATCCTGGCCGGGGGGGTTCCCGGGGGCCCCGGGCCCCAGGATTTAAATAATTTAAATAATTTAAATCCTGGGGAAGGGCTCCGGATTTAAATTATTTAAATTATTTAATTCCCGGGGCCCTGGAATTGCGGGGACCCCTCCCCTTCAGGATTTAAATTATTTAAATTATTTAAATTATTTAATTCCCGGCCCCATTTAAATAATTTAAATAATTTAAATAATTTAAATCCTGGCCGGGGGGTTCCCGGGGGCCCCGGGCCCCAGGATTTACATAATTTAAATAATTTAAATCCTGGGGAAGGGCTCCGGATTTAAATTATTTAAATTATTTAATTCCTCGGCCCTGGACCCCCGGGGACCCCTCCCCTTCAGGATTTAAATTATTTAAATTATTTAAATTATTTAAATTATTTAATTCCCGGCCCCATTTAAATAATTTAAATAATTTAAATAATGTAAATAATTTAAATAATTTAAATCCTGACCGGGGGGGTTCCCGGGGGCCCCGGGCCCCAGGATTTAAATAATTTAAATAATTTAAATCCTGGGGAAGGGCTCCGGATTTAAATTATTTAAATTATTTAATTCCCGGGGCCCTGGACCCCCGGACCAGCAGCACCACCACCAGCACCAGCAGCACCACCACCCACCACCCACCACCCACCACCCACCACCCACCACCACCATCGCCACCACCACAGCCACCACCACCACCACCACCAACAACACCAACACCAACACCAACACCAACACCAACACCAACACCAGCACCAGCACCAACACCAACACCAACACCAACACCAACACCACCACCATCGCCACCACCTTCAAACCCGATGGGGGTGAAGGGTTAAGGGTTTTGGGTCGGGGTGAGGATTTTGGTGGGTGGCAGGCTTTAGGGGCTTGGGGGTGTTAGGGGGGTTGGCTGGAAAAGCTTCGGGGTTTGGGGTTCGGGAGAATGATTTTGGAAACGTAGAACCCCCCCACCCCCCGAAATAAAAAAAAACGCCACAACCCCTAATGTCACAGCCCTCCCTCAAAGCCCCTAGCTTCCAAAACCTAGAGGAACTAACAAAAACCCGAGACCCGAGACCCCAAACCCTAAACCCTCTAAACTCTATCGTTCTTCCTCCCTTTCTTGCTTCCTTTGTTTCTCCCTTTCTCTATCTCTCTCTCTCTCTCTCTTTCTCTCTCGCTCTCTCCCTCCCTCTCTCCTTCTCTCGTTCTGTCTTTCTCTCGTTCTCTCTTTCTCTCAGTCTCTCTCTCTCTCTCTCTCTCTCCTGTTCTCCTTCTTTGGCTCTCTCTTTCTCCCTTGCTCCCTCTCTCTCTCTCTCTCGTTGTCTCTCTTGTTCTTTCTCTCCTTGTGTCCTTCTCTCGTTCTCTCCCTTATGTCTCTTCTGCTCGGTCGGAAGGCTGGGCGCGTGGAAGCAGGCAGGCGTGGGCTGGGGGACTGGCGATTGGGGCGGGCTCCTCCACTACACACCTTTCTCGCTTCCTCCACCCACCCGCCCACCCACCCCCGGCACCCCCCCACCCGTGGATTATTCTGCGCGAAACCCTGTCTGGGGACACCGCTTGCGATTTGATGATTTTGGTACCTGTTGGGGACACCCCTTGCGATCTGCGAGTTTTTTAAAGCCATAGGGGGAACCTTAGGGGGACAGCCCTTGCGGTTCATGATTTGGGCACTCATTTTTAACGCAGACCTGTAGGGAGACACTCTTTGCGATCCGTGAGTTTGGGATCTCGTTTCTTCAAAACCTAATGGAGCACCCATTGCGCGCCCCAGCCCCCAGCCCAGTCCACCACCGCATGTGTCGGCAAAATCTGGCGGAAGTGAGCCGCCACAGAGCAGAAAGCCTGTAAATACCGCGTTAACACAAGGGCTAAGGATTTCACACATCTGCTGAAAAATCTGGCGGGCTAGGGATTTCACACATCTGCTAGCAAAATCTGGCGGAAGTGAGCCGCCATCGAACAAAAAGCCCGTAAATACCACATTAAGCAAAGGGCTGGGGATTTTACAACATCTGACGGAAGTGAGCCGCGACCGAGCAAAGGCTGATCCCAGCTCACTTCGCCAGATTTTGCCAACAGGTGTGTGAAATCCCTAGCCCTTTGTTTAATGCGGTATTCACGGGCTTTTTACTCGATGGCGGCTCACTCCCGCCAGATTTTGCTTGCTTTCTGCTCGGTCGGAAGGCTGGGCGTGCGGAAGCAGGCAGGTGTGGGCTGGGGGGCTGGCGGTTGGAGCGCGTTCCCCTTCTCCTCCACTACACATCTTTTTCCTTTCCTCCACCCACCCACCCACCCACCCACCCCCGGCACCCCCCACCCGTGGATTATCATCCCTTGCGATTTGATGATTTTGATACCTGTTTCGTGCAAAAGCCTGTAGGGGGATACCCCTTGCGATCTGCGAGTGTTTATAAAGGCTTAAAGGGAACCTTAGGGGGAGCCCTTGCGGGTTATGATTTGGGAACTTATTTCTAACACAAACCTGTAGGGAGACAGCCTTTGCGATCCGTGATTTTGGGATTTGCGTTTCTTCAAAACCTATGGGACACCCCTTGCGATTTATGATTTTGGGATCTATCTCGCGCAAAAACCTCTAGCAGTCATTTCTTGTGGAGGATGAGGTAGAAGACTTTTCCTTTTGGGACTTTTCCTTTTGGAAGCTGGGGGAGCTCTGGCTTCTCTTGCTAGGAGCGAAGTCTCTTCAATCTTCTTAAGATAAAGCCGACTTACCAAGAGGTAAAGGCTCTCTCTGCTAGAATGAAGCTCTCGTTTCTTACCAAGAATAACTTGGAGTGAGCTCTCTTCCTGTTTCACAGGGTAAGGTAGGGGGCTTGGGCTTCTCACTTCCTTTTGAAAGCCGCGGGAGGACCAGCCTTTCTCTTGTCAAGGTTTGAAGTTTGGAAAAGTTCCACCTTTTCTTCTTGATCGTAAGCTCTCTTCCATGTTTTTTCAAGAGGAGGAGATGGTCAAAAGCTGTCGCTCTTGACGAAGAGAGAAAGACGTTTTCTTCTTATCGCCCGAAAGGCAGTCGGAGCTCTCTTCTTTCTCGTGATGCTCTGTTATACTGCCACGAACAACCTGGGGGAACTCTCTTCTTGTTTTGGAGCATGAGGTCTTTTCTTTTGAAGGCTGGCGACTGAGAAGAGGTATAAGAAATCTCTCTAAAGAAATCTTCTCTTGCCAAGAATGGTTTGGAATGAGAGAGCTCTGTCCTCACTTCTTGAAAGCTATCTCTCTTCTATCCCTTGGAGAGGAAGTCGTGGCGACAAGGAGCTCCTCTCTCTTATTGTCGACTAAAACGCAGCCGGTCTTCTCTTATTTCTCGTGAAGCTCGAAAGGTTTCTTTTCTGATTCAGAGGATGGGGTAAAGGGCTGATCATGTCTTGTTGAAGGCTGAAGGGAGGATCAAGCTCTTCTTCTGAAGATTGAGAGAGCTTTGTCCTCACTTCTTGAAAGGCTATCTCTCTTCTATCCGAAGAGGGGACGACAAGGAGCTCCTCTCTCTTATTTTCGATTAAGTGGCAGCAGGAGTACTTTTATTCTCGTGAAGTTGGAAGGGGTCCTTGCTGGAGTCCTTGCTCCTTCGAGATGCTGTGGTAAAGGACTTGCCAGGGGATATCTTCCTTGCCCATATAGGGATATGAAGCTCCTTTCCTGTCGATGACTAGGTAAAGGAGCTCTCTTGTCTCTCCTTCGTCTTCTTGAAACTGGAGGAGCTTTGAGCCTTGTCTTCTTCGACTAGAAGCCAGCTCCCTTCAATTCTCTTCAGAGGAGATGGAGATTTACCAAGAGGTAGAGGAGCTCTCTGCCAGACATCAGCTGAATGACTGGGTGGGACTCTCGCCGTGTTTTCGTTGAGAGTTGGGGGAATCTCCACCCTTTCTTCTTGAATGTATGCCCTTTTCCATCTTTTGAAAAGGTAAAAGAAATAATCAGGATCTCTTTCCCTGCCAAGAGAGAAAGGAGGTTTCTCCTTCTTGCGCGTATGATCTTTTCCATCTGTTGAAAAGGTAAAGGAAATACTCAGGATCCAATCCCCTGATCAAAAGAGAAAAGAGTTCTCTTCTGCCGACCGATGGGTAAACGGAGACCTTTGAATTCTCGTGAAGTTGGAGGCGCCTGTCTGCTGTGCTGAGATGGAGCTCTCTTGCGTCTCATTACATGGGAGGAAGCTCTCAGTCATTTCTTGTGGAGGACGAAGTAGAAGACTTTTCTCTTTTTGGAAGCTAGGGGAGATCTGTCCTTTCTTGCTATCTCTTCAATCTTCTTAAGACTAAAAGGCGACCTACCAAGAGGTGCAAAAGCTCTCTGCTAGAAAGATGCTCTCTTCTGTTGCCACGGATAACCTGAGCACTCTCTTCTTGTTTTGGAGCATGAGGTCTTTTCCTTTTGAAGGCTGAGGGACGACTCGATGTCTCTAGTTTAAAATTGGGGGGAGCTCCACCCTTTCTTCTTGAGGGCATGTCCATCTTTAAAAAGGTAATGGCAATAGTCAGGATCCCCTCCCCTTATCAAGAAAGAAAGAGGGCCTCTTCTTGTTGACCGAGAAGTAAACGGAGCCCTCTTCTTTCTCTTGAAGTTGGAGGGGCCTGTTTGCTTTGTTGAGATGCGCTTTCTTCTGTCCCATTAGATTGGAGGAAGCTCTCAGTCTCTTCTTGTCGAGGATGAAGCAGAAGACTTTTCTTTTGGGAAGCTAATTCAGAGGATGAGGTAGAGGGCTGCTCCTGTCGTGTTGAAGACTGGGGGGAGGATCATGCTCCTTTTTTGAAGATTGAGAAAGCTCTGTCTTCACTTCCTGAGCTATCTCTCTTCTATCCCTTGAGGAGGAAGAGGGGACTCTCTTCCATCTTTAAAAAGGTACTGGCAATAATCAAGATCCCCTCCCCGTATCAAGAAAGAAGGAGGCCTCTTCTTGCCGTCCGAGAAGTAAACGGAGCCCTCTTCTTTCTCGTGAAGTTGGAGGGGCCTGTTTGCTTTGTTGAGATGGCGCTTTCTTCTGTCCCATTAGATTGGAGGAAGCTCTCAGTCTCTTCTTGTCGAGGATGAAGCAGAGGACTTTTCTTTTGGGAACATAATTCAGAGGATGAGGTAGGGGGCTGCTCCTGTCGTGTTGAAGACTGGGGGGAGGATCAGACTCTTGAAGGGAAGATTGAAAGAGCCCTGTCATCACTTTTGAGAGCTATCTCTCTTCTGTCCCTTGAGGAGGAAGAGCGGACGAGAAGGAGCTCCTCTTTCCTATTGTCGACCAAGACGCAGCCGGAGTTCTTTCATTTCTCGTGAAGTTGGAAAGGTTCTCTGCTCCTTGGAGATGCTGCGGTAAAGGACTTGGCAGGGGATCTCTTCCTTACACGTATCGGGAAAAGAAATTCATTTCTTGCCGATGACGAAGAAGTGGGCTCCCTTCACTTCTCTTCAGAGGAGATGGAGGCTTACCAAAAGGTAGAGGTGTTCTCTGCTCGAAATCAGCTGAATGACTTGGAGGGAGTCTCTCTCTGCGTTTTCGTTGAGGGTTGGGGGAATCTCCACCCTTTCTTCTTGAGCGTATGCCACTGTCCACCTTTTGAATAGGTAAAGGGAATTTCAGCATGTTTGTCCCTTGCCAAGAGAGAAAGGAGGTTGCTTCTTCTTGCGCGATTCCTTTTCCATCATTTCAAGAGGTAAAAAAGAAGGGATCCAATCCCCTGAGCAAGAAAGAAAGGAGTTCTGTTCTTGCCGACCGATGGGTAAACGGAGACCTTTGAATTCTCGTGAAGTTGGAGGGGCCTGTTTGGTTGCTGCTTGTCGCTTTGCTCGTGAGAGCTCATTTATCCGAGGTTTTGCTCCGAAACAATAAAGGAAGCTGTATTTGCGTTGTTGGGTACTTGTTGCTGCTTACCGCTTGGTTCGCGATTGCTCATTTGTGCGGAGTCTTGTTCCGAGACAAGAAGAGAAGCGGTATTGTGCTGCTGCATACTTATGCGTGATTGCTGACTTGGCATTATGCTGTCAGTTACTTGTTTACTTGTCTCTGTTAACTTGCTGTCCGAATCAGGTCTTGTGACACAAACCTGACATTAACAGAATGTTGCTCCAACACGTACTCTAGCTCGCCGGTATCAGCTAGCCGGCCTTCGTGTGAGAGTATATGACTACAACAAAACCCGAATGCCAGCTTCCAAATAGACCCTATTTAAGCCGGCCACCCCCCCTATCATGAGGTCCCCCCCCCCCTCCTCAAGGTCCCTTGGTTTTGTTTGTGTCTGACAGTGAAGCTGCGACTGGTCGCCTGTCCCGACGAGAACGACAGCCTGGATGCGCTTGAATTCCAGCTCTTGAAGAAAGTGCGGTCTTCTCTCCAGAGTTACGAGCAACGCCTGCACCCTTCACCGGCCCAAACTTTCCCTCCGCTACTGTCGTGCACATCGCTTTGCAAAGCTCAGCACCGGACCTCGTGCTTCTAGCTTTCGTGACCAGCTCTCAAGTAGTCGTAGTAGTAGTGGTAGTAGTAGCATTAGTAGTAGTACCAGTAGTAGTAGTACCAGTAGTAGTAGTAGTAGTAGCAGTAGTAGCAGTAGTAGCAGTAGTAGCAGTAGTAGCAGTAGTAGCAGTAGTAGCAGTAGTAGCAGTAGTAGTCGTCGCAGCAGCAGTAGTAGTAGTAGTAGTAGTAGTAGTAGTAGTAGTGACTATCATCGACGTTAACATTGTCATACATGCACTCGCCATGGTAATGCTGAACTAGGCATCGTCATCGTCGTGGTAGTCATAGCAGTGACACTAGCGGTACAAAAGCAAGGAAATGACGTTAGAAGTAGTAGTTGTTGGGCAGTAGCACTGGCAGCAGCGGTAGCAGTAGCGGCAGCAGTAGCAGCAGCAGTGGTAGCAACGGTAGTGGTAGCAGGGGAAAGACTCATCAAACCACATCAAGATCCGAAACTGCCGAAGGTTAGGAACCTTTAAAACCCATGGTCTATGGGGTTTAGGGGTTTTGGGTTTAGGGGTTTAGGAACGTCCAAGAACGGCTCCCCCAGGCTTCGCTTTCCTCGGTGGCATACCACCGCGATGCACGAGCCTAAGCTGCCAAACACTGAATCCGATACTAGGATGCCCAGTAGTGCCCTTATTCCCTTTTTGTAGTCCTAGGTTCCTTATAAAGTTACCCAATACCAAAAAGAGAGGCCTTTTTATTCTTAGGTTACTGGGTATCCTAGCCACAATCACTGGTTCCCTTCTGTCACTGTGGCAGTGTGGGTGCAGGCAGAGCAGCAGTCGTGCTAGAGAAGGCAGACAGTAGAATACCATCGCAAGTGCGACTGCTGCTTTTGTTGTTGCTGCTGCTGTTGCCACACTTCTGCTATACTACTGCTATACCGCTGCTATACTACTATACTACTGCTACTACTACTACTACTACTACTACGACTACTTCCATTTCTCTTGCTGCTGCTACTACAACAAACACATCACTTCCACTACCAGTGCGAGTGCTACCGCCACCATCGCTGCTGCGGCGGCCACGACCCCGACGAGCAATGCCATCCCTGCTGCTCTGCAGCTAATGTTGCTGATCGCTGCTCCTGCCGCCGCTCCTGTCGCCCCTCCTGCTGCTGGTAAACTCCGTTTGTTCCGGCTCGTATCGCAACAATGTTTCCGCCGTTGCTAGAACTCATAATGCTACTGTTGTGGGGCAGCCTTTTTGCTACGACTCATTGTGTCAGGTCTTCGCCCTTTCTGAGGTGCATTCTTGCTTCAGGGCTTAAAGATCATAGTCTCTAGGATTACCGTTCATCGTGGCCCACACTAGAGGCCGAACTGTCGACTTCCGGAAAGCACATTTCGTACCGACCATTTTTGACCTTCCAGAGACCGGAACGGTTGATGATATAAATCCTGAATGGCCCATAATAAGGAATATACCATAGTTCCCATAGTTCAGGGTCCTTAAGGCAATGCAGGATTTATATCATCAACCGAAGAATCCCCCCCCGGAAACCCACGCCTTCGACCAGGTTAATGCACACAACATCCTTGTGGATGTGCGGCACTCAGACTCGGAGTGCCGTATGAAAGTCTTGCGCCGGTCCTGCTGATCGCTTCCACTGTCAATGTCCAAGGACACCGTGCTGCGTAGATGTCCATTTCAGTTTTTGGTTCATATCTCTTTTGATAACTTCGGTTTCAATGATTGCCTTAGGAGTAGGAGGAGTCGGAGGGGCGCTACATTGTTCTTAACATGTTTGTTTTCACCTAATCATTGATATTGGAGGAGCTAAGGAGCCAAACATGATGATAATCTCTATCAATTAAAGAGCTAAAGAGCCCGAGGGAACCCCAAAACCACTAGTTAGTCAGTTTTGTATCCAATGTTTGATAGTTGGTGATACATGCAGGTGCATGAACACCAGCACGGTTGCTGCACGGGTGTCTTACTAGACGGAAGCAGCATGAGGAAAGGCATCTCCAGAGCTGCACAGAAAGCAGAGGTGCATCTGGCTACATGCCCCTACGCCTTCGCACCGAGCTTTCCCCGCGACTTCTCAAGCTCGCAGTTTCCGGCGGCGTGACTTCACCGGCCATTACAACCTTACATCCACAGGTTGCAAGAACCCGCTGGGGTCAAGCAGTACTGATTCTGACGTCAATGCGTGCGCTTGACCCGACTTGGGCACATCATTCTTGTTCCCAAATGTCAAGCTTAAATCCGGTATTCTACCGAAACCTTAAACCTTGAACCTTAACTACCCCCCCTAACCTTATGCCACAATCCCTGAACTCGCTCCTTAACTCGTAGACATTGAAACCCTAAGACCGAGACCTAAAGCCTTAAGCTCTCACCGCCCCTGTATAGGCACAAAACTCCAAATTCTGCCCCTGAGCCCTAAACCCTAAACTCTACACTCTAAACCCTCAACCCCAAGCCCCAAACTCTAAACCCTATATAAACGTTCAACCCCAAACCGTAAACTCTAAACACCAAGCCTGAAACTCTAGCGGATCGCAAGGTGGACGCTGCCGGCATTCCCACGCACTCCTTGGTAGACTTCGGCTTGGCGGTGAATGCGTCGATGCCTCCGAAGGGAGAGTCCTTTAAGGGCTGCTATCAAGGCTTCCCTTGAGGTTCACAAGGATGTCTGTAAACCCTAAACCCTAAACCGTAGATTCCTGTAAGGCTGAGAAGGACTACTATACAGGGATACTCTAAAGGTTCCTTAAAGCGTTACTGTTGAGGGTCTCATACAGGCTACTATGAAGGTTCCTTAAGGGTTACTATAGACAGCGCCACAAGGGTCACGTCAAAGAGTGCTGCAAGGATTCCTTTAAAGAGTAAGTGCTACAGGGGTTACTGTCAAGCGTCCTCCAAGGGTACGATGAAGGGGTCCTATAAGGGTTGCAACTAAAGGTACACTAAGAGTTTAGGGTTAGGGGTTGTTATTCACGTTTGTGGGTTTCGGAACCAGCAGTGGTCATGCGACTTCAGGAGCTATGGGCTTAGAGGTTAGGGCGATGAAGGGAGGATGTCGGAGCCTTTGTGCGGTACGGGGTGAAGGGCTTAGGGTTTGGGTTTCGGAGATTCAGATGCTTGGCAAGATAGTCAGACACCCTCGAAACGCATTAAGGCAACCAGACACGAGAAGCAAAGCCACCTGTGAATACAGGTTGGTATACTCTAGCATGCTAGTTACGGCATTTTCTGTAGTCATTGAAGCGTTGTCCGAGGGCTTTCACCCGCAGTTCCACTAATACCTTGGTTCTCCCGGCAGGCCCTCAACACCCACAATATATTAGAAGCCTTAAACACAAAACGCTCCATGCCCTCAACCCGAAATCCCAGACACCAAACGCACGAAGCCGAAGCCCAAAGACCCAAAGACCCTGTGCCTTCCAGCCCTGTGACTTCCAAGGTCTACTTGGATGGATCCCTCCCCAAAGAATCCGGGGGGCAAGAGCGAATGGGAATTCTTGGATGTGGGTGGGAGCCTTGACGACGCGCAGAGTTGCAAGAGCAAAGGGCCTTGAGGCTTCGGGGAGGTGAAACCCAGAGACTCCAATATCCTTTAATTAAGGAATATGCCTCAAATCATATAAGGGATCCTACTATAATTCAAGGTAACTATTATTTTCCTTGATTAAGGGATATTGGAGTCTCCGGGAAGCAGAGATCGACCCAGATTGATAGAAGGCAGATTGTTCATTGGTGATGGGGTTGTTTGTGTCATTGGTAATATTTCCCGGCAGTGATGTCTTGGCTGCGCAGTGGCACCTCGAAGTACAGCCCGCTGATGAATTCGGTTAGAGGGCCACGACGATGATGATGACGATGACGACGATGCTGCTGGTGGTGATGGTGGCGTTTGTGGTGGTTGCGATGGCATAGTTCAATTCACATGAACATGTTCTTGATGACGATGGTGATGAAGAAGATGCAGACGAGACGGCTTTGATGTTGTTGTTCTTGTTGCTGATGATGATAATGACGATGGCGTCAGCAGCGTTACTATTGATACTGACATTGACAATCATGCTGGACGATCAGGATGGTCGTGATGATGCTTGCAACCTGCTGTTGCTGCCACGTCGTCTCTGGGGCCCATTCTGGGGAACTGTAGCAAACCGAGTGGCTCCTGCACCTCGGATACCCGACGCAGTCAGCGACGGCTTCTTCGTCTGGGCTCCTGGGTTGTCCTCTCTGAGGCGGCGACTGCCGGTACTGGCCCGTCTCGGCCTGGCGCCAGTTCGAGGCAGATTCTCGGTGTCATCATGTCAAGCTCGGTGGTCTGGGAGTCGACATAGGGCCATGGGGTGTCCCTTCAAGGTACGTTGTTGTACCAGAACACCACGAATGTCAATACTAGCGTGCGATCTACTAAGTCTTGTACTGTTACTTGCACAGTTTGCATAGTCATTCGTGAACTAGTTTTAATCCAGTTTCATCTAAGCGGTTTCTATGTGGCATAGCACTTTGTGTATGCTGGTGTACTGTATACTAATCAAGCGAAAAGACATGTTGTTTCGAGCGTCTGTTCCAGAGGCCCTTCCAACGTCGAACACAGGTCTGAATACTTAGAACTGCAATCGCTATCCCCTTGCAACTGTGCCCTTAAGGATCAAGACCCTCTCAGGAAGGTCACCAATGATCGGATTTTGGGCGGCGCACCCACACCCACACACACGCGTGCACCCCAGGCCCTAAGCCGACCCCCTGAACCGGAAACCCCCAGAGCCTCGACCCAAAGGCCGGGCCATTGAAAGCACCTCCTAGTAGCAGTAGAGTATATAACCTTTAACCTTTTTTGGGGGTAGTATAGTTCCTATATAATCCCTATATAACCAAAAAGGTTAACCTTTAGTTCCCCATGATACCCGACGAGTAGGCCTAAGCGTCCCAAACCCCAGAGCCTTGAGCTCCCGGATTGGAAGCCTAAACTCGATGCTGGAAAGTATATGATGATATCCTAAATGTGACATGTAAGTACAGTATGAGTATACATAGATACATACATACATATATACATATACATATATATATATATGTATATATATATATATATACATATATATATATATATATATATTTGTACAGTTGTATACATACAGAACAATCATAACATGTATTTCCATTTCGCTGCATTCAGGGGAGTACGCTGCCTAATTAGAACATGCAGACTAGCAGTATGCACTCGAGAAGGACTCAGCCAACCCGGCGCAGAAATCTGCGAAGAGGGGAATGGGCAACAGAGATAGAACCGGCCGCGACAAAAGCCGTCTCACACCACCCAGCATCCCTCTACAAAACCAAAAGCAATTCAGGGCGAAGCTTACCCTCAACCCGAAACTGTATAGAATCGGCCTCCCCACTCGTGCGGAGGAAGGACCGCTAATGCGCCCGAAGCACCTGAAATGACGACTCACAGCAGGCCCTGTCGATCCTCTGATGCCGCCAGGGTCAAAGATGCAGGCTACTATCGACTCCACCGCCTTAGTGAAAGCCGTGTCTGCAGCTGGCCGGTTATCCTCCTTCGACAGCATGACCAGCTCATCCAGAGCAGCAACAACTGACTTGTCTGAGGAAACTCTGGAGAGCACGGGCTTCATGCTTTCCAGCTTCCTAAAGAGAACGCCCAGCTCGGGCAGGGCAACCATCATCGACCTGCTTGGCTCCGCTAGATGCAAGCACAGCTCTGCTGGAGTGAGTGTCACCAACTTGTTGTGACAATCTCCAAGCACGGTGCACGGCATGCACAAAGTGGTTGAGGGAGGCCGCTCAGTTGCTTGCAGGTCGTCCGTGCGAGGTGTTGAGGCCTTTCCTTTTTGCTTGGGCACCGCGACCGCCGTGGGCACCGGGACCGCCTTGCCAGCCGGTGTAGGTGGCACGCCTGGTGCTGTCAGGACCTCGAGGTCGATGTCAGTAAGGATCTCTCCGGCCGCATTTGCTTCCGGATCTGACGCTGCGCTTGCTCTAGCAGCACGGCCAATTCCTTCTCCCGTTTCTTGGCGTCCGCGAGCTCTTTCGCAAGGACCCGGCGGACAGTGATGAGCTCCGCTTCCTTGATGTCCTTGAAGAAGTTAGCAGCTTCGACGTTCCCGCAAGCGTACAAAGGTTCCCAAGCAGCAGTACGTAGCCAGCTGTGATCGCTGATTTCATGAAGCCTCCATTTGCTGTTATGGCTCGGGCCACTCCCCATTCCCATAGAAGGGCAAGCTGTGGCCATATCACTCTGGGCCAGCATGCCATGCTCGCGGACAGATGTGGAAGAACTGCCAGTCGAAGGACGACTACCTTTGCCAAGGGCCCCATCCTGTCCGGTGCCGCGCGTATTCCCGACTGGGCCATCGCATGGCACTCTCAAGCTCGAATGTCGTTGTTGGCGTCGTGGGTCGATGATCCCACCGCAACCCCGAGCTCTTGCCTCACAGCAACAAAAATCTCTGTAGCCAGGTATCACAGCTTTGCCCGTCGCAACGTCCTCAAAGCTGGGCCATGTCTTGCCGCCGCATCGTACACAGGCTCTTTGGCGTACCATGAAGGTACTGGGGTTCTGGGCAATATGGTCCGCTGCTGGACCATTCGATCCCAAACCCTATAACATGTGTATATATATATATGTATATATATATATATATAAACAAATAATTACATACAGAATATATCTGTATATATATGGAGATGTGGAGATCGAAGCCGGAGCATCCTTGGATTCGCCAGGCTGGCTGCAGGGCTTTGTCGGAGGCACCAGTGCAGGGCTTCGTGCTCCCTCAGAGTCCGCGTAGCCATATAGACACTTCGTAGGCAACCTTTAACCCGTGTGGGTGAAGATGTATGTATGCATGTACGTATTGTATGTATGTATGTGCGTGTATATATGTATGTATGTTATGTATGTATGTATGTGTGTATATATTTACGTACATACCTTTGTTTTCTTCATTTATTTGCTGACCTCACTGGTTAATCGTTTAATTGTTGAATTATTTTGCGTAAGCAATCACTTACTTAATTAGGTGCTTAGTTAATGAATTCTACCATGCCGAGGGATTAACCTGGCTGGATCTGGTACGCAGCCCCCCAGCGTAGAGTTATGCATTTACATCTATCTATTCAAAAATGCTTCAGGTCTATTCTGACATATTTAACATGGAGCCGAGACCTCTTGCAGGAAACAGCGGGCTTATAGGGCTCACCGCTTAGAAGCCTTCTACCCTACAGTCCTAACAAAATCCTCCAAAAGCCCCAAACTTCTTAAATCCATTGAGGGTTTTGGCTAGGGTTTAGGGTTTAGGGTTTTAGGGTTTTAGGGTTTCGGGCTCGTGGAGCTTGTCCGTTTGCAGGCTATGGTACCGTTGGTTTTTTGTGGCTCGGGCTCGGGGATTCAGAGCTCGTCAGGTCGCTTCGAGGCTCGGGTTGGCTGTCGGTATCCTACGTTTCGTGGCATGTTGGGAGCAGACTTCTTTGAGCTCCATTTTTCTGTTCTCAGGTTTTGGAGCTTCAGCCGGCTGTCGTATAGAAGGGACTGCATACAGGGTTGAGTTTTCTTCTGCCGGAGAAACAGTAATCGTCGTGTGCGATAGAGCAGAGAACCGGCAAGAACATACAGGCCCCCAAACCCCTAAACTCTTGAGCCCTAAGACCTGGGAAATCATGCGAACTTTATGGGCTCTTATGCCTGCGGCTCCTTTTTTGGAGCCGGTCGGCACGCCAGGCCTACGGATCTTGCCTTCCGGGCTCAAAGCCATGACGGGCATGGGGAGCGACTTAGCAGAAACCACCCTTTCACCAAGAGCGACTTGGGGGTTTCCGAAAATAGGGGGTACCTTGTTTGGGGTCCTTATAATAAGGATCCTACTATTTAGGGTACTAGATTAGGGTCCCCGGATATTTCGGAAACTCCCAGCTCTGAAATCGTGGAAGGAGGCCCGGAGGTCAAGACTCGCTTCGATCTCGAGCGACAGAGCTTCTTCGGCGCTTCCGAGCCTTCGGCTGACGTGGTAAGCTGTGCCAGCTCCCCGAAGCAACAGGAATCAAAGGGGAAAAGGAGGGACCCTTAATGGGGGCCCCTATCCTATAATGGGTATACAATAGCTATATTAAGGGTATATACCTAGGGATCCGTATTAAGGGTCCTTCCTTTCCCCCTTTGAAGGAAGGAAGCCTCTCTGGGGGGTCTCCGTCTCCAAGCCCCTTAAGGCTCGACAAACACGAGCCTTAAATCTAGTCCATCACGGAGCTTCCAGCTCCTGCCGATAAAGCGAAGTCATCAGTCCCACCACCTCTAACCTCCCAACCGCCCCCCAAAAAATCCGTAAAATCCTGAACAAGTCCTCCACCCTAACGCCTGCCTGTGTCCCGAAGCTTAAATCCTAAATCCGACGAGGCACCAGCCCTTTGCGCAGAATACCAAACTCACCTGGACCTGCAGGCTGGTCGCCCTAATAACTAGACTAGGGTTTTGGGGCCATATTCATTATACTGTAACTATAATAAGGAACCCCCACAATAGTATTGGTAATTGTTTAGGCCCCTATATTACTCCGGATTTCTTGTGACTTCGAAGAGTCTAGGAACGCTTCTGGCACTGCACGCCTGATAGCAATCCTAGTGGTAGTCGTCGTCGCGGTGGTGGTGGTAGTGGTCGTGGCCGCAGGATGAGGAGAAAGAGGAGTAGTAGTGGTGTGCAGTAGAGTTTAGGAGATGCTTCCGAGTGTTCTGAGGGACTTGGACTTCATGGAGGTTCTACCAGGTTCGTCAGGAGCTTCCTAGATCCCCAATACCCAACCTTTAGACTTTTTGGGTTCTTATCGTTTAGTAGGAATCGGAAAGTTTAACCTTTTACTTCTATGGTTTATTGGGGGAGGAAGGCTTTACAGTGATGTATCACTGCCGTCAGCTGCCTCCATCTATTCAGCCTTCCACGCAACGCAATTCGGAAGTTGCCGCCTGATTCCTGCTCGAGGCCTGTAATAGGCGCCCCAATAATTACCTACACTATTTTGGGAGCTCCTTCTTTACAGCTACAGTACAGTTATAGTATAATATACCCCCAAACCCTTTTCCAATTATTGAGGCCCCTAGAGTCCCTCTGAAAGCTCCGACTGCTTGATAGGCTCACTGTGGTTCGGGTGTGTACTTGTGCGTTCCTGTTGTTCTTGTCGTCTGAGATGTGCCCTGAACCCTAAAACCTAAACCCTAGAAACCCTAAACCCCAGCCCTGAACCCTAAACCCTAAAACCTAAACCCTAAGCAATTAGAGCACCGGAGCTCTGGCCCTTCGGCCCTTGTTTTGAAAGCCCTAGAACCTCAACACCACATATGGGTAGTCGTCAAAATTAGGGTTCCTTTTTGGGTACCCTAAATAATAGATGCCGTGTGTTATTAGGGACCCAAAAAGGGACCATAATTTTGACAACCACACGCATATACAACCCTATGTCTCAAAATCCCGAGTTCTCGAGCTTCAAGCGGTTCCGTTTCGGGTATTTAGTTCAACACCCACGCCGCCCCTCCCCCTTTTTGGTTCTGACAGGGACTTGGGCTGACTGTGCTCCAGGCACGCTGCTCAGCAGTGAAGGGTCCGGCTTCCAGCTTCGAGGGCTGTCTTGCAGTTCAGTCCTTGTGCTTGTTTACGACCCAGAGTAGACCCTTATTCCCTGTTTTAGAGATTAGGTTCCAATATAAACCACATTAAATCAAAAAGGGCACCCTTTTATTCCTAGCTTTCTCCTGGGTCTAGCTGTTGCGGTTACGACGATTACGACGACCAGTCTTCAGCTGTCTTCAAGGTCTAGCTGGCCTTGTGCCGAGGTGCTCGTGGCGATGCTTCCAGAAGAGGGCCTTGTGCCTTTGCCGCAACGCCGAGTTTTTGGGTCTTGGGTTTACAGTAGAAGCCCAAAAGTTCGAAACCCCATAGCCGCGATCCTTAAGAGTAATGTATCGGGATTCCCAGCACTAGATGGCCTTAATCCGGTTTCCAACTTTATGGGGTTTACTGTAGAGTAGTTTAGGGTGCAGGCCATTTTGGATTGAGTCAAGTCAAGGTTTGCACTCTCAGCTTGAAGCATAAGTGCCCCGACACAGAAGCTCCTAGCCGTCAGCATCAGGTATCCAGTGGTCCTGCAAGCTCGTGAATACATCAGAACCCTCTGTGAAATGTTTTCAGGTAATCTAGGGGCCTGTACAATAGTCAACACTATTTCGGTACATTCCCCAAAAACCCCATGCTACATTTTCAGGCTCTTTTGGCTTAGGCGTTGTCGGTTTTGATCTGCCTTTTCATGCTTTCTACTTGAAACACTTGCGAATCAGATGGGGTGAGGGCATCTTCCTGAGGTTAGATGCATGGGTAGTTCTCTGAATTGGGGTCCCGTCTTTGGGTCCTTACTACAGGGGTGTCGTTCGATATTCGGGACTTAAACATGTAGCCTGTTAGAGAACTACCCACATAGTACCTCATATCGGACTTCCATTGAGCAGTCTTGGGTGTTGGGGCAGGCGACCGTTGAGCTGCACCATGCTGGCGCCTTCCCTTCGGCGAGCATGCATCGGAGTTGGATATAGTGGAAGATCTGCGGGTCTTTGGATGTCGTATCCTAGGCCCAGTAAGTTCGCTACGAGGATTTTCACCCCAGCTGTTAAAAGTTGGATCTGAAATTCACACGGCTCGGCTAAAACACCAAATCCAACAAATCCGAGTAGACTTTAGCACAGGTGCTGCGAGAGCTACGCACGTTGCAGGACTGCCGGCCCTCTGTTAATGGATGGTAGAGGCAGTAGTCAAAGTTGAAGGTTCTCGAATGAGATCTTGCCTGCATCAGTCCTTGAAGTGGCAGGGTATTGCTTGAAACAGTGCAGGGGAATGCCACACTCCCCAACTCGGAGAATTTGTTGTACGTTCTTGACCCGTCATGTCCGAAGCCAAGGTCAGTAAGGAATGACATACGGGCCTCAGCACTGCGTTTACCGTCTGTTTCAACCGCGTGACTTGACTTGTGCCGAGGGTTTGCTAAGCTTGACAGAATACCACTGCCATTCAGGACGCATGGACCCAGTACTGGGACGATGCCACGGAGTTCTGGTCCGCACGAAACTCAGCCCTTGATAGTTTGGGGTGTCGTGTCGACTACTATAGGGGCCTGAACAATTAGAATAGGGCCTGGGGGGGGTATATTATTATACGATAACTATAATAAGGAACCCCCCAAAACCCTATTGTAGTTATTGAGGCCCCTAGATTACCGCCTCCTTGATGAGCGCCTCGTGCCAGAAGCGAGCGATCCCCGACCGTAGAAACGAGTCATTTGACTTTTAGCGTAGGGGCATTAATAGTTGGATTTAGAATAGGGTTTTAGGGCCCATTATGCCATAAATAGAATAAGGAACCACCAAAATGGTAAAGGTAATTATTGAGGCTCCTGGAGGAACCGTCATTGCACAAGGCATGACTAACAAGCAACCTCCGGTAGTAAGCTCGTGCACTGCTTTTGCACAGGATGTGTGTTGAAAAGTAAACTCTTGCATCTGCGGCGTGGTCGACAACACATGCTAAAGGTCCAAAACCTACCATCCATTTGCAACCCGTGTGTTGGTTGGGTACCACCTCCATTGAAGAAGCAAGTAGCAAGTGGGATCCCGCGAGGTAGACTCCGAAAATTAGAGGTACCTCAATTGGGGTCCCTATGTTAATGAGGATCCTACTATTGAGGGTGTTATATAGGGGTCCCCTACTTTCGGAAACCCCCCGGTATGAGCATGCGGTCGGGGCCTCTGTTCCTTCGGAGGAATCACCTGTGAGAGCCGTCATAGAAGCAGAAGTAACATGCAATGTAGGCGAATGTCACAGACGGTCGATGGACCAGGATCCGCGGAACGATGATTCGGATTGCTGCACCAAGACAAAAAATCACGCGCGGTCCGTGAACAGGAGGCACAAGAACGTCTATATTGGATTGCTTGAGGTGGATAGCAACTACGGTTGATGATATAAACCCTGCATTACCCTAAGGACCCTAAACTATGGCAATTATGGCATATTTCTTATTATGGGTAATGCAGGATTTGTATGATCAGCCGCATCATTCCGCATGTTGCTCGAAAGTGAAGGGTCGATGGACGCCGGTGGTCTTACGAGTTCGAGCTCTGAAATGGGAGTTTCCGAAAATAGGGGACCCTAATATAGCACCCTGAATAGTAGCATCCTTATTATAAGGCCCCCAAAATACGGTACCCCCTAATTTTCGGAAACTCCCAAATCGTTTGATGATGGTGGCAAACCACTGTGGATCTTCCCCCACATGGGTAGTTGTCAAAATTATGGCCCCTTTTGGGGGACCCTGAATAATAGGTGCCGTGCTATAATAGGGACCCAAAAAGGGGCCATAATTTTGACAACCACCCACATACCGAGCAAAGTGCTGAAGCTCAACTTTGCTGCCGTTCAAGGTCGTAGGTGAAGTGGGCTTTGGCTTCAGGGTTACAGAGTCTCGGCTTCCAAGCTTGCATCATGCATACCCATAGGCCCCATAGTAGTTCCTTTTTGGGATTACCTTATAGAAGTCTAAATATGAACCCCAAAAAGGAACTAGTTTGGGTCCTCCTAGCCACAACAAACACCCTAATGACAGCCGCCTCAGGCACTGCTCAATACTTTCCGTCATGGGGGAGATTGGTCCGTGCTGAAGCAGGACCGGGGCCATGCGAAGAGTGCGACTGGGCTTTGGACAACTTGCAGTGAACATGAGTTCAGCGCAAACAGATGAGTAACAGCAGACTTGATTGCTGCAACACTCCATACGGTTGATGGTATAAATCCTGCATAACACATAACAAGGAATATACCATAATTCCCATAGTTTAGGGTCCTTAAGGTAATGCAGGATTTTTATCATCAACCGTAGTGAAGATGTCCCTTACATAGCATGGCAACTTTTGCATCTTCTTATTCTCGGCTCAGCACAGCCCAAACGAAGGCAAGACTGTAGAACATGCAAGGGGTACTACAAGGGCTACTGCCAGGTTTTGCATTAGGGTTTTAGGGGCTACGAAATGCGAAAGAGCACACTAAACCCTAAAGTTCGTCAACAGGGACCTGGCAGGGTAGTGGAGGTGACCCGAAATCCTAAAAGCTTAAACCCTAAAGCGCCGAAGTTCCTGAAACCTTAAACCCTAGACCTTGAAGCCGTGAATCCTTGAACCCTGAATCCCTGAAGCCCTGAACTCTTAAACCCGGATAACCCTGAAGCCCTAAACAATCAACCCAAGACTTTTACTTCTTTTGGACCGATCCCCGTCAGGAGTTTGTGGCTCGCGGCGTCCACCGGATAATGGCCCAGAGGCCAAACAAGTTGAACCTGGTTCTGAAAGGATTGAGGGTTTAGGGTCGGGGATGGAATAATCAGGAACAAAGTGTTGTCTTTCAGCCCACATATTAATATGTTGAAAGGTTGAAGTGTAGAAATAACAAAAGCCCTGTGAATTCTAGTTGTTGAGACCACCCAACGGTTCGTTTGCGGCTGAGGGGAGAGTGGTTGGTATGAAGCTGCATTCCTTAGCGACTGTTCAATACCAGAAAGAACACCAACTGCTTCTCAAGAGGAGCACTCTGACAATTCCCCCAAGACCGAACTTGCAGTTTCCGAAAATAGGGGACCCCAGTATACTACTCTAAATAGTAGGATCCTTATTTTAAGGGTCCCAAAATAAGGTACCCCTATTTTCGGAAACTCCCATATTCTTCTAGCCTGAATCTTCGTCTTCGGGTCAGGCGATGTGAAATATCTTCAGACTGCAAGCAAGTGGTGAAGAGCCGTACAGAGTGTCGTGCTCGTCTGGAGTCTTCTAAACCCTAAACCCTGCAAGCCCTAAAAACCCTAAACACCCTGAACCCTAATCCCTAAACCCCAAACCCAAAAGCCTAAACCCTAAACCGACGCTCTTGGAAGATCATCGAATTACCAAAATCCAGCCTCAGGGCTTCTTGTACGAGGCCGAACTCGGTGCTCGGGTGTTCACAGCGCTTGCATGGCGTCTCATTCATAAGGCTGGCTACGAAGTTAAAACCCGACCGCCGCAAGCTTCCTCTTGAGCTTATCAACTTCGAAACGTAGTACTATCAGACAACATGCGGTATGTGGCGCCGTGTAACAACTCAGGTACATCATCCATCCCTGAACCCTTAGCCCTGACATATCCTAAGCCCTAGACCCTAGAAACCCTAAACCCCTACACCCCGAAACGCTAAAAACCCTAAACCCCTACACCCCTAGACCCTAGAATCCCTAAACCCCGAGACCCTAGAAACCCTAAGCCCTACACCCCTAAACCTCTAAACCTGGAATCGAAGAGGCTCAAGAAGTTGCACGACGCCCTCAACACCGCACTGAGCGCGGCCGCCGCGGCAAACCTCGACGAGGAAGGCAAGCCATGGTCCGAAACTGCAAGAGGGACCGGGGGTGTAGGGCTTTAGGGGTGTAGGGCTTTAGGGGTGAAGGGGTTAGGGGTGAAGGGGTTCAGGGTTTGGGGTTTAAGGGTTCCGGGGTTTTAAGGCATTTGGAGTGTAATATAGGGGCCTTAATAAATACCTAGAGTATTTTGGGGGTTCCTGATTATAGTTGTAGTATAGAGGGCCCGAAAACCCTATTCCAATTATTAAGGCCCCTGTTTTTTAGGGGTTTTGGGGTTTAGGGTTTGGGGTTGATTCAGGGAGTTTTAGGGTTAAGGGAGTTACTCTCTGGAACCTAGCGTTTCCAGGTACCCAGATTCATGTTCTTCTTCAAGAAGAAGTTAAGACCCACACTACCTGGACCCCAAAAGCATGTAGAATAAGAGACTGGTTATGGGGTTTGGGCCATTGTTTTACCTATGTACTTCTGGCGTGTAGGTGAGGGGTAGTTGGGGTTCAAGCGGAAAGGTCTGATCCTGCTACGCAAGAATCACTGTCCGATATTGTACATGTGATGCGGCCTCACTCAGCGAGGCGTCCAACGTCTCCAAGTTTGTGCCGGCTGTGCAAAGCTTTGGTTGCCATCCACCCCCCAAAACCCCTATCCGCAAAAAAGGGGCTCTCTCTAAGTCCAAGCTGGTTAGGCCCCAACCTCAAACCCCGCAAGTTCGGTTTGGGGTTCAGGACAGCCCTAGACTCTAAACCCCCCTTTTTCCAAATGTCTGGCCGTGTTGTGCCTGCGCAACCTGAGGATTGCCAGAAGGTTTGCAGTGAACTCGGTGAAGCCTTTCGAGGGTTACGGATCAGGGGTTGGGTCTTGAAGGTTTTTTGGTTCGGCGCTATCGGCTTGTGGAATTCATGGTGTCAGGTTTGGGGTCCAGGGTTGTTCGGGTTTGGGGATTCAGCTTCCCGGCTTAGGCTTAGGGTCTGTGCATGGCTCCCTCACTGCAAAAAAGCTTCGAACTGGGGGGGTTCGGGGTCCGAGGGGCGGTTAGGCTTTCGGGTTCGGGGGGGTTAGGCTCTCGGAGAATGTCCCCTCGGTGGTATGTAAATTGATTTCGGCAGATTGGGCACCATTGATTCGGCAGCATTCGGTTGCGTTACTTCTTTCCTCGCTTGGGTACTGTCGTCGCCGTCGTCGGGAGCTCGTCGTTCTCTTCGTCACTTTTGACAGGCCTTTCTCTACCCGAGCACCTCCACTTGAGGGATTTCAAGCCTTCGGCTTGGGATGATTCAGATGCAGCCGTTATCATTCACAATTTCCTACGAAAAGCTTCTTAAGCGGCCCTGGAGCACGACTTGGTTGAAGTCAGTTGCGGCATCCTGTTAAGATGCATGACAGGCTTGACAAGGATCAGGGGTGCTTGAGGCCACTAAGCAGGACGGACCTTCCACTGCGTTTATTACGTGCACGAATTATGCCACGAGCTTCGATGTACCCTGGTGGCCATCATATTCTCGCAATATATCATTTCAAGAAGGTGTCTCTCTTAATCATGCACGCCGCAAACGGCTCCACGGCCAAGTTCTGTTTGCATGAAGCAGGTCGCTGCTTGAGCTCGTCATGCGTCACGACAGTTGATAGAGATTTCGTATTCCAGACTCTCACGTGTCCAACGTCTCCAGATTGCTCACCGGGAAGACTTTCGCATGCCAATCTATACTACCTCCCGGCAGTCCATATGACTTCGTCCCACAGCATCACACGAGTGGTTCGGAAGGTTATCGCGCAATCATGAACAATCATGGTCGTTTAGATCACAAAAGCAGCCGAGAGAAGGCACCAGCGATTGGCCTCACGGCTCTGCAGGCCTGCTGTGGGCCCAGCGCTCAGCCACAATCGAGGTTTTCTACATTGGGTTCCTGAGCCATGAACAACACGCCTCCAAGGCCCGAAAAATGCCCGCCAGCATGCCCATGCCCATTTACCCGAACCTTTGATCTTCAACCCAGTCGAAGCTTGAATCTTGACGCCTGGGCTTACTGTACCCATCAGTGCAGACTCCGTGATTAGGAGCAAGTCCAATTCGGAAGATCTAATCTGCACCAGAAACCAGACTTGAGGAGCTTCTTGTAATCCCAAAAAGCTCACCATAAACCTAGCCAACCTAAGGAAACTACGAAGTTACCACGCCGGCTACTACAAATATGAAAAAACGGGGGTCCGAACACGAAGCCGGTTGGCACCAAAACTCTCCAAAAGGTCGAAATGTCTACGCACTATCGAGCTATGCTAAATTGCACCCGCACCTTTATTGCATGGTATTCAGAGGTCTGAGGTTTATGGGTTCAAGGCTTAGGAGTCTTCAGTCAGGGATTTGGTGGTTTCCGGTTTATCTGCTGGCGAAGGCTCTGCTAGCCATGGTCAGCTACGGCGAAGAGAGTCTGGGCTCTCAGGTCTCAGTCTTTCTGAAAGCTGAAAGTTTCGGCTCGAGGGTTCAACCCGGTGTAAGTGAGGAGCTTCGGGGCTCCAGACCCTTCAGAGTTTCTTGCTTTGGGGCCTTGAAGTTGTGGGACAGGGTTTTGGGTTCAGGGTCGCGGAGCTTTAAGGTTTGGGGCTTTTGGGTTTTCGGCTGTGGATTTTTGATTGCGGAAATATGCTTAGGTCGTGAGCCTGCGTCGCGAGAGCCTGAGCCGCACACACCCCTTAGCCATCCCAAACCGAAACTATAGTCTCCTTAGATTTTTTTGAATTTTGTTCATGAAAAACCCAAGAGAATATTAAAAGTAGGATTCTTATTATGCTTCTAAGGGTGGTATAGAGGAGTCTCATGAGAGTCCTGTTCGAGCCTGTAGGCGCTCATTGCAGGGTTTTGGGCTATAGGGCTATCGGGCTTAAAGAAGTAGCCTTCAAGTCCACTAGAGGAGTTTAGGTTTAGTGTTTCAGAGTTGGTGGATGTCCGAAAATAGGGGACCCTAATATAGTACCCTAAATAGTAGGATCCTGAAAATAAGGACCCCAAAATACGTAGCCCTAATTTTCGGAAACCCCCATTTAGGGTTTAGGGTGTGCGGTTTAGTGTTATGGTTTTGGATTGATAGGGTTTCGGGCTTAGGGTTTAGGATGCCAGGACAAACCGACTTCCAGCCATCTTAAATCAGGAACTGAGCCAGCCCACTGGGGGGAGGTCACCATGCGTCTAGGCAGGAGACTGCGATCAAGAGTTGAGGGTTGTTGCGTTTGGGACTTCATGTTCGTCCGGTGTGCAATGGGATATTAGGACTGGAATTCGGTTGGACACAAGCCTGATAAATGGCCGTGGGATGCTGCTGGGTGAGATGCAGTTGCTTCAACTCACTTTCCATGGAAAGTTCTAAACCCTAAACCCTAAACCTTTTTGCTTCAGTTTTGTTCGGTCCTCAGAAGCTCGGAGAGAAATCCTTCATGTCCCTGCCACCGTCAAGAGTTTCAGCTCAACTGTTTGAAGAGGGTGGGTAAGGGGATTAGCGGCTTGGCGCTCTAAGCACTTCAGGGCCGGCCAGATCCGTTTTACTGCGAAGTTCGGGCTGGCATCTTTGAAGCTGCTTTGGCGGGCTCGGTGATTTGAATACCCAACTAAGGGCGCAAAAGGGGTGCTATATGGTCACCATAAGAGTACGGTAGTAAGGCTACTTTGGGGGGTACCATCGCGGGGTTTACGGTTTATAACTCGGGCTTTCGAGGCTTAGGCTCCCTCCAAAGCACCCACACGGCACCTAAACCATCCGGCAACGTCGCAGTCGAGGAGCCATAGCCTCAATCTCTACTAAAGATCTCGGGATTTGGGCGTTACTTAGAGGATCATGGGACTTGGTAACTAGGGTCATAAGTAAGGTAACTATCCCTACTTATAATCCCAATTAAAGTATTTGTAACCTTACTTACTAAGTCCCATGAACCTCCAAGTAGGGTGATCTTGCACAGGTCGCAGCGAGCCTCGTCAATATGGCGACATGCGCGCTCCTGCGGCCGGAAGGCTGTTTGGAAGCTTCCGAGAGCTGGGCTGGTTCATTTTGAAAGCATTGGTACTGATTCTGAGCTCAACCAGGTTCCTGGCTGGGCTTGGGGTGGGGCGAAGCCTGACGTGAACATATGAAATCAAGGTTTTCATGCGATTTGTGAGGGTTTATTGTTGATTGAGCATCTGGATTTCTCGTCGACCGGTAGTGAATATCTAAGCTGCGAATGTCAGCGGTGAAGCTTAAGTCGGTGCAGCTTGATGGAAAGTAGCATACGGAGTGCAAGGCAGCCGCACTAGTGGTTTCAAGATAGACCAGATGTAGTGTGGGCCAAAGTTTGACTGATGCCGGAGCTTTAGCAAGGAGTAATGGACTGCCTTGGCAGACAAGGAGTAATGCAATGACAATGTCTCAGAGTGTTCGAGTACAATTTCTGTCCAAGCTGTATCCTATTTGCCTAGGCTCTTCTGCGTGATAAACCCATGTTTCTTTCGGGATGCAGCCCAAAATCCCTCTACCGTGCTATGCACCTTCGTTTGAACATGTCATACATGTGAACACTTTCACACTGTGGCGAAAGAACATGCAAAATAGCTTTTCAGAATGAAGACTACAGCATGATGATTAGTGCATAGTTGATAGTAACGATAGTATACAACGTACGACTTCTCGTGTTTTGTAAATGCAGCTAGCCGTAGACCACCTGTGTAGTGCTGCATATGTACGATCTACACAGGTAGTTCATGGTATCGCTCCACAAACTCTCCTGCACCCGCAAACCCAATATGGCTCTTCAAGCTGCCTCACCAGAATCCCTAAATGGGGTTTCCGAAAATGGGGGACTCTAACGTAGTACCCTAAATAACAATAGTATGATCCTTGTTAAATAGAAGGAAACGAGAATAAGGTGCACCTGATTCTCGGAAACTCCCACACCGCTCTTCGAGTAGCCTCAGAGGAGTCCGTAATCTCTGTGTATCTACATATTACATATATATATATACATATATATGTATCTATGTATCTATCTCTATAAACCTTTGGATGCTGTGAACCACTCCCCGAGTTTGCTCCGCAGGCCTCGCATGAAGCCAGCACCTCCCGAAGGCGTTGGTCACTTGACCAAAGACAAGGCAAAGGTTCGGGCTTCTAGGGCTTGTCGGGGGTTTGGGGGTTTTAGGGTTTTAGGGTGTTAGGGGTTCAGGGGTTTTAGGGTTTGGGGTTTTAAAGGTTTCGGGGGTTGAGAGGTTTAGGGTTTTAGGGGTTTTAGGGTTTAGTGTTTTAGGGGTTTCGGGGGTTGAGAGGTTTAGGGTTTTAGGGCGTAGGTCGGGGTAGAGGGTGCCCTGCAACACTTCTGTTTGGGCGGTGACTGGCATTGGGGGCTGCTTCGCTCCAAGTGAGGCTGCTCCACGGCCTTCATGCAGCAGCTCAGGCGAGAAGCCAGTTGCATCAACAGGCGCTTTGGGCCCTGGAAACTGCTCGTGGCTGAGGTCGCAGATCATCTCATTGTCACAGCGGCGGTCCCAGCTTCATGCATGCGGCAGGGCAGCACTGGCCCTCCTCTTCCTGAGGGCTGGGTCTCCGCCTCAAGCAGCGCCGATTCCGGCATGCATGGGTTTACAGTTTCGGGGTCATCGATTCCATTTCTAAGGTGTGATTTTAGGGCGAGCGAAAACTTTCGTTGCACCTTTTGTAACCATCTTGTTGCGACTGAGTTGCCCGGCTCTGAGAGACAAACTGAGCACGTGAATACCCAAGCAGCTTTACTCTAGCTGCCTTTTTGCAGGAGCTGAAAGGTTTGGGCTTGGGCTTCAGGTGCGCCATATGGAGAATTTTACAGATTTGGGTCCCTTTTAGAGTCCTTTAAGGGTGCCGTGCTTACTGTTTTGGGGACGAACAGGGACACAACTCTGCGTGTCGTTTCATATCCGTAGACACTGATAGGTAGATGGGTGGGTTAGTGCGTTTCCTAGATAGATGGACAGATGTACTAATGCCTACTGCTTCCTCAAGATCGGTTTTATGTACTCGTATGTATGCCCGTCTGTGGCATGGAGTTCACAGCGCTCGATACAAAATTGCTTTAGGGATCTAAAGCTCGACCACTTTGCGCACGAGATGTCCCAAACCTCCACTCAGGAACCCTAAACCGTCAGGGAAGGCGTCTCGGCTTCCAGTTTGCACGCCCCCTTTTTGCAAGTTTTTGCGCGGTGGTTAAGACCACAACGCCATGGATCACCCTCCGCCAACAGCCCGCGAGCAGATGCTGGCTATCGCAGCGCAAAGGGCGCTTTACAGTACGCAGCCGGAGGTCCGCACCATGCAGTCCATGTACTTCAAGCACGACAGCCAGCGCAAGAGAGGACCGCCCACACCTGTGATGAGTGCTGGGACCACACCGCAGGATGCCCCAGAGGCACCGGCCGCGAGCTCCGATGAGCCGGCATTGGTGGCACCAACCGTGATGGAGGCGGAGGTGGCTATGCAGACTACAACTGGTCATTTTGGCATCGACGTCAACGACCACAACGCCGTCAGCCAATTCCTGCAACGGCCGGTGCAGACAGCAGAGGACGTTTTGAGGTTGGTCCATGGGTACCACCTCAAGGTCATTCGACCGGAGACCTTCGGCATGATCTTGCAGGTCGAGGCCGCGATCAAAAGCATGAACGATCGCCTTTTTACCACAACGCAAGAGCTGAAGTTTCTGGCTTCGGAAAACCGTGCTCAGCAAAAGCACGCCTCAGGAATGATGCTGGTGCTTACGGGATTTCCCCAGACCATGCCGCCCCACGACCGAGCTTACATGATAGGGTGGATGCTGCAGCAGGTTGAGGATGTGAGGCGATACCTCCAGAACCGCCGTCTACTTCCGGAAGGTGCGACTACTGAGGAGATTTCTCCGGAGTTTTGGTTCCAGGTCCTTGCCGTGGATCCCGTAACGGTTCCACAGGCGGGTGGCCACAGCGCAATGACCATGATCACTTTTAAGTCATGGGATGTTCGCTCCTCTTTTTTAAGACGGTTTGGGGGCCAGTCTGGAACACCCCTTTACCACAACGCCGACACTGCCGTCGCCGGCAAGCATGTGAAAGTCTCACCTTGTGCACCTCAGTGGCAGCGAAAGTTAGAAGCTCCATTGAGGGTGGTCCTTTCCGCAGTGAATGCTCACGAGGATTGGCAGGGAATGACCCTGACAATCCTTTGGAAGAGCCTCACCATCATGAAACCCAGCCAGGAAAGGGACTTTGTCCCTGACCACACCGCCTGGGCCCGATTGTTTTATGAGGAAAAAGATGGTGTGTTTCGAGGCCGACTCGAGGTAGCACGCGAGTTGGCCAATGTTTTGTTGTCCCCAAGCAGTGCCGGTTCCGGAGAGGAATCCCTCTGGACCGAGCACTGGAACAGTGTTATTTGGGGCAACCAACACACCATCGATCAGCTTGAGAAGGAGTCCTTTCAAAAGGCGAAGGTCCAAGGCCACACCGCCGGAAAGGGAGCACTTGTGGGGAAGGGCAAGAAACACTGGAGCAATGCCATCCTCCACAGCGATTTCTATTCGCCGTATCCTTTTGAGCTGGAGTTTGTTGGAGTAGATGCCGTAGCGTTCTCCTGGGACGAGTACTGCGACAAGCTCGGAAAACCCGAGGAGAAAGTGGGCTCGTACTCTGTTGGGACCTACCAGGGCAAGCCACCCGTGGACCACACCGCCCAAGGCGATGTTGATATGGGTCCGGATCCTTTTGCTGAGCCTTCTGCCGAGCTCACACCGCAGGGGCTTTCCACAGCTGCGGGTAAAGGTAAGGGCAAGACCAAGTCCAAAGCCCCAGCCCCCAAAGCTGCTAGCTGATGGTTTTCCGAGGGTACGGCACAGGTGTGGATGGTGAAGGCTTCTCCTTCGGGTGTTGCTTCCAAAGCCGGATCCAGTCCACACCACCTTTTGCCGGAGAGGGAGGAGCCGCATTTGAAATTTTATAATTTCGGCGCCCCCTCTTCCGACCACACCGCCTTCAGGCGGCTGCTTTGTAATTCGTCGAAGGCTTCTGCAGCGGACGGGGGAACAGCCCCACCGTCCGCGGGGCTCGCACCACACCGCCAGCCTAGCGTAAACTATGCTAAGGTCCTACAACAAGCTAGGAACAAACTTATGCACCTTACCCATGGCAACACTACGTCGTCGGCCCCACTCCCTTTAGGTACACCAGACCCTCTCCCAGAACAACCTTTAACACTCAGCACTTTGAGCCCTAACGCCCTTTCCACAAAGCCCCCAACATTCCCATTGAGCCTAAGTGAAGCCATCCCAGCTAGTCCCACACTTTTCTTGCAGCCGCTCCTTTTCCCAGCAATTCCTAGGAACACCCTTTTAAGGTATAGGCCTCATAGGACAAAGCCTCCTATCCCGGAACTTCCTCAAGCCCTCCCGATCACAACGCCTTTGCGGGCACACGCCCTTACCGCCCATTCCCGTAGCAGGACAGGCAGAAGGATTAGGTTTCGTAACCCCCAAGGGGTTTACTCACACCGCCGACGCGCTAAGCGCAATAAGGCCAGAAAACCGCGCTTAATTAAAAATTCAGAACAGAATTCGAAACTGGAACAGCCAACCACACCGCCTCCACGAGGCGCGCCGGGCGTTCCCACGGGAACGAACGAAGAGTGTAACCCACACGGCCGAAGGCACAATGCGCACAGCGGGGGCACCCAGCGCGCGGCCCGGCGACGGGCCTACCGCGCTTGGTGTCGCTGGCGCAAACAATACACGGGCGCGGGGGCGGACTCCCTTAGCCCTGCCGACGGCAAGTCCACGAAAGCCACTCCTCGAAGAGCGCAGTGGTTTAAGAAGACCATATACTGGCAGCAGACACACAAACGCAAGAGGGGCGCTCAACCGCGGAAGTCTCCGACCACACCGCCTTTAGCCTACGGGGCTAAACTTAGGATAGGCGCAATCAACGTACAGGGTATGGCAGACACCCTTAAACTGAAGAACCTTATCCTTATTATGGCGGAACACAACTTAGATGTCCTCATGCTTAGTGAAACTAAGAGTACAAACTACTATTCGTACGTCTCGGAACAGCATCTAGTTGTACTCTCAGGGAACAACAAAGATAAGCACGCAGGAGTAGGAGCAATCATTCACCCTAGACTCCGACCACACCTCGCAGATATAGTACAGGTCAATACTCGCATATTGCACCTAAAACTTAACAAGCGAGGAGGTCATACACATGTGGTAGGGGTTTATGCACCTCACTCTGGCTTAGATTTGGAGACAGTTCGGCAGCCTTTCTGGGATACCCTAGAGGAGTACCTGGACAAGTTACCCCAACCAGAACCCCTCTATATCACAGGAGATTGGAACGTCCGATTTCAAGCACAACACAAGAACGACTTAGGGGTTACGGGCCCTTTCGTGTACGGTAAGGGAAAGCAGTTCATCGACCACACCGCCTCCTCTAACCGAACCCTTTGTGTTAAAGTGATGCAACATCTGGGGTGCTCAGAGGTAGCCTCTTACAAAACACCCAACAAAGTTCATCACATCACGTATAGGGATAAGACCGCTCCTCCCCCAGATTGGTCACAGTATGTCCTTGACCCTTTGATCATGCAACAATCCTACAGACTTTACCATGAGGCTTTTGGCCCGGAGGCGCTCAAACTCGCCTCCCACATAAGGTCATTTCTCCCTTTGCCCCAACCTCTTCCACCAAAGTTAGAAGAACCCCACCCAGACCCTACCAGGTTCCAAAGGCTCGACCACACCTTCACCAGGAATCAGTGGATGAATTCCATCAACAGCTGCAGGTCTAAACTCCACACGGGCTTCCCATCTGACCACTACCTTCTAGTAACAGAAGTACAAACCAAGCTAGCAGCCAGAACCCCTAAGCCCCCCAGGCCACCGAAGCTAGATTTCTCGAAGGCCACTCCAGCAGCTAAACAACTTTTTAACTCCACACTAAAGACCTCCCTAGGACTCACCCCACAAGCTCCAAGCAACCCCCCGACAGCCCCCTCAGACCACACCGCCGAGTTTGATATATATACGGACGGCTCAGGAACCAGGGGCAAATGCAGCCGAGTCACCCCAGCAGGCTGGGGATGGTGCTTTGAAAGAGAGGACGGTTCATGGCATGAAGCATTTGGGCCGGTGGTCACCGACCCAGACCACGCCGCCTACTTAGGAGCAGGAGTCGGTTCCAACAACACGGGGGAACTTTCGGCGATCATCGAGGCAATGCTCTACGCACAAGAACAACAGGCCACCAAACTCCACATCTACTCCGACAGCCAATGGGCCATCAACGTTATCCTTGGAAAATGGAAGGCAAAAGTTCACAAACAAATGGTTCACACCGCCCAACTACTTTACAAACTGACCAAGCCGCACTTACATTGGGTCAAAGGTCACCAGGGCACCGAAGGCAACGAAAGAGCGGACCAACTAGCGGAGCAGGGCAAGAATGCTACTCAGTCACAGGGTTCCAGAATACTCCCCATCATCTCGGAAACCCCTAGCACAAGCCACCCAGACCACACCGCAGACCAACTCACGAAGTCACTCCTTCAATCCGCCAAGGAGGTCTTACCGGTTCAGCAACGCCGTCCGCGCAACAAATGGGTGACGCAAGCTACATTGGATGCCTTACAGGCCGCGCGCAATGCCCTCTCAACAGGTCAGGACAACTGGAAAACATTACGTAACAAAGCCAAGCGCATGGCACGCAAGGACCGTATCAACTGGGTACACTCCCAACTTGTGGGCGACCTCGCGGCAGACAACGCATCGGTATGGGGTACTGTTCGATCGCAACGCAAAGGTTTTACGGGTAAAAAATCGCACCTGGTGGTGGATAACAAACCGGTCCCTTGGACCAAAACTCACGAGGTCTTCAGGGACCACTTGCAGAACAAACAATGGGCTCCGCCCAACATACCGGAACACACCGCCGCCAACAGGCAGGCCAGGCAACCAATTAGCGCAACCACACCTGACGAAGCTCCATTCACCTTACTCGAGCTAAGGGAAGTCTTATACCAACAGAAAAGCAGAAAGGCTCCAGGACCTGACCAACTTGAGGTAGAAATCCTTCAGATGCTCGACGCCGAGGGGGAAAACCTCCTTCTGGGGGTTTACAACGAGGCGTGGACCTCGGGGACCATACCGCCATCCTGGACGGAGGCGTGGGTAGTATCCATATTCAAAGGCAAAGGTTCGGACACAGATCCATCCAATTACCGCCCCATTTCCCTTCTCAACACCACATACAAAATCTACGCAGCTATGATCCAGAAGAAGCTGGCAGCGCAATTTGACCACACCCTACGCCCAAACCAATTTGGCTTTAGGGCGGCCAAAGGCACCCGCCATCCACTATTCATCTTGCGCCGCGCAATGGAATGGTCCACGCTCACAGACAAGCCCCTCCACCTTCTTTTCCTAGACTGGAAGCAGGCATTCGACTCGGTCGACCACACCGCAATGCTAGAAGCGCTGGCTCGCAAGGGCCTATCCCACCGCAGCCTAGCAGCCATTCGCGCCATTTACCGTTCACCCAGCTTTTCCACCAGAGGCGCAGACGACCACACCGCCAAGGGGATTTGTAGATCAGGCATTAGACAGGGATGTCCTTTAAGCCCCTACCTCTTTATCCTTACCTTAGATGTAATCCTTACGGATATGGAGACCACACTGCAACAAAAGGGACAGCCAACCAACAGTTGGTCGATCAAGCACCCCACGTTCGACTTAGAGTATGCAGATGATACGCTGCTTCTAGCTCTTACAATACCCCAACTTCAAACATACCTCTCAACGCTAGAAGAAATAGCTCTTGAGTATGGGATGCATCTTAATCAACAAAAGACAGAGCTGTTGGTACACAATGAAGGGGATATCACTACGCTACATTTTCAGGACGGTTCGTTGGTCCCGACCACACCGCACATTAAATACTTGGGTTCCATGATTAGCTGGAAGCAAGCCTTTGAGATAGCTTTCTATCATCGAAGAGGGCTCTCAGAACAGGCTTACAAGAAACTTCGGTTGGTATGGAACAGTACTATGTCCCAGAAACAAAAACTTAAAATATTCCAGGCTACATTCTTACCGGTCCTCACCTACGGATTGGATGCTATCACCATTACTACGAAGCAGTTACACCGACTAGACGCACACTACATTCGCTTTCTTAGACGGATAGTGGGTATTAAGGCCTCATATTACTCACACACCACTAACCAGGAGGTTTATAAGAAAGCCAGGTACCCCAAACTGCCTTCCGATGTGATAGTAGACCTACAGTTTAAAATGCTACAGGAGGTCTACCACACCGCCCCGGAAAGCCCTCTCCATAACGTAGTGTTCACAGCTGCCTTTAAGGATCGAATCCTTTTTCAGGGTCGTCGCCGCGGGATGCCCTTCCCCTACTGGATCGATCATACAACCAGAACACACTTCCCTGGTCTTCTTAACCACACCGCCCCTAAGAACCCTCATTGGAGATACATACTCGTAAAGCGGGCATTGCAGAAGCCTTCTGAGTTGGCGCCAAAGCGCGCGCAGACCAAGCTGCAGCGCGAAAGGCCTCCCTAAAAAAAACCGTCAGGGAATACGGTTTCAGTTCATACGGTTTCGGGTTTAAGGTTTGGGTTTGGAGGAATCCGAAACCTAAAATGCCAAACCCCCTTCTGCTGGAAGGTCCGGGTTTCGGGGTTAGGGTTCAGGGGTTTAGGGGTTCGGGGTTTAGGGATTTAGGGGTTTAAGGTTTTAGGGTTCTGTCACAGTAGGCACCCTCTTGAACCCATTTCTTACTGGAGAGGAGACGAAGTGTCGCACGC